GAGCAGCCAGGCAAAATGCACCTGAGCATCACGTGGCAAAACGCACCTTGATGGATTTCTGTATTCCTTCCTGTTACAATTAGGGCAATGTTAATTGTTTACAATTGTGCATAGAATCCTTTCTTTGCTTTCATGAGGATCTAGGAGGTGTTAGTAAATATTTGTTTTAAGGAGTGGGATTGGTCTGAGGGGTTGAGAGCCTCTGCCGTGCCGGGGAGCTCACTGCCCCTGCTGAGGAGCCTTTTGAGGCTCCCGTCTGCCTGCAGCAGAAGTCCCGGCCCCTTGGCCTGGCCCAGAGATTCATTCCACTTGCCTCTGTTTACCTCCCTCTACTCCTAGTTTGAATCTTGCCTTAAAGCAAATTGGTTTTCTCTTTCTGTCATCACTGCAAAGACCTTTATATCCTCACAGAAAATGCTGTAATTATTGGGTAGTCTGCCTGATATATCTATAGATCTATATATTTAAGAGATGGGATTTCGCTCTGTCACTCAGGCTGGATTGCAGTGGTATTATCTTGGCCCACTGCAGCCTCCACCTCCTGGACTCAGATGGTCTTCCCACCTCAGCCTCCTGAGTAGCGGGGACCATAGGTGTGTGCCACAGTGCCTGGCTAATTTTTGTATTCTTTGTAGAAATGGGCTCTCGCCATGTTGCCCAGGCTGGTTTTGAACTCCTGAGCTCAGGTAATCTGCCTGCCCTGGCCTCCCAAAGTGCTGAGATTACAGGCGTGAGCCACCAGATGAAATGTTTTGTAATCTTCGAAGTGAAACTAAATGATGATGCTAGTTGTGGGAGTTCCTCCCAGAGTTCACTGTAGCTGATAAGCCATAACTAGTGGTTGAACTGCATTCTGGAGGGCTGTGGCCTGGGGTGATGCGTCCCTCAGTCTGATGGGTGGGCAGTTAGATGTCCCCGCCCAGGCCTCTGGTTCAACCTGAATAGTTAGTTGATCTCGGTATTTGGCCTGAGCATTCTGACTTCCACACTGACAGGTGCTCCCTGGACTTCTGGTAATGGAGAGGAGTCAGCATGAACTGGCCTAGGTCTGACTGCATCCAGGTGCACCCCCTGTGCCTCCCCACTGCACACCTGGCCATCCAGGGCCTCTTGGCTGCTTCAGTGCTCACTAGGTGCCCTGTGATTCTTCAGGGCAGAGTCTGGCAGCTGCACAGAGCACACAGGCCCCTTTTGAGCTTCGAGCTGTGTCCTGGTGACACGTTTCCCTGGGGTCAGCCCTCCTGTGTGGTGAGGCGCCTTGCGGGATGAGCTCCGTGGCCTGGTGGAGTCCCTGTTGCCGCACTTTGTCTGCAGCCCCTTCCTGGTTGGCTGACTTGACAGAAATAACTGGACTCCTGTGATCACTTGGAAGGACAGACTGTGTTGTATCAACATAACCGAAATAAGATTGTAATGGAACAGGAGGTGGGGCGGCTGCCAGCCTGCGGCCACAGCTCTCACCCCGCCAGCCCTGCCCTCCCCGTCCTTGCTCTGCGTCAGCGCCTGTCCCCTTCGCCCTCCCATTTGTAAACATTTGCTGGTGAATATTCTTTTTTCTCCAACTAGAATCGTAGGGTGTTGACAGCTTGGAAGGGGGAGTTTACAGATGATCCGGTCCAGTTCCTTTAACTTACAGATGAAAAATGAAGACGCTGCTCCCGTTATTTGTAACACAGACTGTCTTTTTTTATCATTTGCCTTTTTCCTCCACAGCTCAGTGTTAGTTGTGCTGAGAGTCCCTCTCAGCAGACTGTCACAGAGTCCCTGTGCGTTTCTCTGATCATTCTTTGATTTCCCCGTAGCACTTCACCATGTAGCAAGACATTTTCATTAAAAACCTATTTATTCCTGCCATTCTAGCCAGTCACCTTGGACAATTGGAGAGCTCGTCTAAAACAAAATTCTCTGGAGGCGATTGCAGAATTTTCCTCATTATTATTCTATCATTGACAAATTTTCACTGAAGAAATTCTTACCAGTCCTTGGTTCTGCTTAACAGGCAAGCGTCAGATGCCCCAAGTCACCCAGGAGGCCCATAGACCATGAGGCAAAGGAGATGAGCCGGTGTTGGTTTTTTTTTTTTTTTTTTTTTTTTTAAGGCAGAGTCTTCCTTTTGTTGCCCAGGCTGGAGTGCAGTGGCGCCATCTCGGCTCACCACAACCTCCGCCTCCTGGGTTCAAGCGATTCTCCTGCCTCAGCCTCCCGAGTAGCTGGGATAACAGGCATGCACCACCATGCCTGGCTAATTTTGTATTTTCAGTAGAGATGGGGTTTCTCCATGATGGTCAGGCTGGTCACGACCCCCGACCTCAGGTGATCCGCCCACCTCGGCCTCCCAAAGTGGTGGGATTATAGGCGTGAGCCACCACATCCGGCTTTTGTTTTATTTTTAACTCCCACCTGGTGTTGGTTTTTTCTCTGTCATTATTAGCAGGAGTCAGCCTGGATGGTTGTCAGAGCAGCCCCTGGACTGCTTCAGGCTGCATCTCAGCTCCTCATCCCTGGCCCTGACTGAAGGGAGGACAAAGGTCCTGCTCCCCAGACCTGTTTGCAGTGAAGACAGGGGCCCGTGACTCCCCTGGTCATAACGACAAAGTAATTGATAAGTAAATGTTTAAACTCTGGCCATGCACAGTGGCTCATGCCTGTAATCCTAGCACTCTGGGAGGCCGGATCACTTGTGGTCAGGAGTTGGAGACCAGCCTGGCCAACATGGTGAATTGAAACCCCATCTCTACTAAAAATACAAAAATTAGCCCGGCATGGTGTTGTGCGCCTGTAGTCCCAGCTACTCAGGAGGGTGAGGTAGGAGAATTGCTTGAACCTGGGAGGCGGAGGTTGCAGTGACCTGAGATTGCACCACTGCATTCCAGCCTGGGTAACAGAGCGAGACTCCATCCATCCATCCATCCATCCATCCATCCATCCATCCATCCATCAATGTATGTATGTGTGTATGTTTTACCTGTAGCCACTACACTACAGCCTGGGCAACATAGTGAGACCCCCCCCACCTCTAAAAAAAAAAGATAACTCAGTAATGACTACATGTTGAAATGATAATAATTGGTTATATTGAGTTAAATAAAATATAACCATGAATTTGACCTGTTTAATTGTTCCCTTTTTGATGTGGCTGCTAGGAAATGTCGATTTTTACCTGTTTAATTGTTCCCTTTTTGACGTGGCTCCTAGGAAATGCTGATGCTGTTTGTGGCCCACATTGTGTTTCCATCGGGGCAGCCCTGGCCTAGATCCGGAATCAGCAGCTCCCTGGGCTCTGTGGGAGCTCTTCAGTGACTCACTCTTGTCATTCCTGTTTCTTTCTCCAAAGAACTCAAATGCATCTCCTCGCTGGGTGTGTTCATTCGGGGACCCCCTCTGGGCACTCCTCACTGGAGCCTACTGGATTTAGGATGTGGTTTCCCAGGTCCTCCCACTAAGGGGGACCTGCAGGCCTCCTGAGAGGAGACGCAGGCCGTCCAGGAGCCTGGGGTTCAGAAGTGGAGGCAGGGGACATGCTGTCAAGGCAGGAGCCTGGATGGCTCCACTGGAAAGAGGTTTGCTGAGTAGCAGCTATGTCGTCTCAACTGCTGTCTCCACCTTGTCTGCTTCTCAAGCTTTACTTTGAGTACTGTCAGTGCTTCCAGTTAGAGAAGGATTTGGGGTAATAGCATCCGAGTTACTGAGAAGAAGGGACGAGGCCTCTGGGCAAGTAGGGCTTATCAAAAGGCATGTGATGGGGGGCAGTACTTTGGAGCATCGTATCTTTGTTCCTGTATCATGACTGCTGAGTGAGCTCTGATGGCCACCAACCTCACTGGGCCCCAGTTTCCCTCTCTGCCACAGGGCAGGGTCCTGACCTTTAAGGTCACTGTCAGGCTCTCACGCCTGCACAGGGCATAACACAGTCAGTGTGAGCTGCAGTGGTCCATGTGGAGACCCAGCCACCCCATCCTGTCTCCGGTGTTGTGCCCCTGCCACATTCTCACTGCGAAGGAAGCTTTTTGATCTAGGCTTCAATTTTTGGTCCCAGCTAACCATAAGCTCGAGTTCCTTTGTGGAGTCACGCCACCTCTCTGCACTTATTTTCTGTTGAGAAAGTGGAGACGACAGTGGTGCCTCTCTCATGGGCCTGCTGTAGGATGCAGTGAGGTGATGCCCAGCATGACTTGGCATGGTACACAGCACGTGGAAAACTCAGAATGCAGGTATCGCCAGTGGCAGCCCTTGGCCCATGTGCAGTTCTGTGGTTGTGTGGATTAGCCCCTGGTGGTCTTTCCTTTCAACGGCTTGCAGAGACCCAAGCTGAAGGACCTGGGGTTTTGCTTGGGATGTGCTGGGTGTTGGTGATTGTGAAAAGTGGAGCTGTGGTGGGGTGGGAGTAGGGGACAGAGAGGAGGATGCTGTCAGCAGGTGAGGATGTGAGGACAGGGGAGGGGGGAGGTGTCCAGAAGCCCTTCACTGGGCCCTGGCCAAGCCTAGCCAGTGGAGAAGGGACAGTGTTCACCTCTTCCCCTATGTCTTGTACGATCCCCTCCTGGCCTTGGGCTGAGTTGAACACACAGGCAGCACAGGGAAGTACATGGGGTGGACTGGCCTCTGGCACCGTCTGGACCCTAACACCAGTGGTGACCTTGTTTCCGTGGAAACATGGCGCTGTGTCCAGACAACTGAATTCTGCCTCACCTTGTTCATAAACTAGGGATTGTCTGATGTTGGTTTGTGTGGTTAGGCTTCTCGAGCTTATTAGAATAAACAATGCAGATTATTATTTTGTAAAGGGTGACATTGACTAAAAGAGAATAATGTCTTCATTGGTGAACAAGGGTGTTGACTGAATATGGAGAAATCAGTGAAATCTCCACAGTGACAGATGTACTCTGGAGATGGGGCTGAGGCTAGGTGTGCACCTCCCCTGCCAGCCATCAGCAACCTGCCCCTGTCTGTCTCATTAGGACTTGTTGATCTTAAATTTCTGCAAATGTTTCTTGTTACAGAGTATGGTGTTTGTGAAAACTTGCGGAAGTTGGAGATCACAGGCGTGTCTTGTCGGGACGTCTACGCGAAGCGTGAGTGAATCTATTTGTTATCATCCATGATTAACTTTGTACCAGAAGCAGACAGTGCACATCAGTGATAAATAATAAAAGTGATTTAGTCCATACTTTTGTTTTCTCAGAAACCATCTTACAGTCCCATTTTGAATACAGCACTGGTAGTAACAGCACTAAAATTGAGGGAGGGGGCACTCTGTTCTCTGTTCTCCTATTCTGGATACTAGTGTCTTTTATTAGGCATAGAGGCCCTTTAGAGCTGAGAAATGTAGGCAGCACCAGAGCGACTTGGGTGCTCCTGGAGCTGCCTGTTTCTCTGGTTTCTGGGCCTCCAGCCTTCAGGATGGGACTGCCTGTGGTAATTGGGAAATGAAGCTGTGGTGCCTTCCGTCCAAGCCCCCAGGTACGGAGAGGCAGCCCCCCTTCTGAAGTTCTCCTTCCCTTCAGTGTTCTGTGGGCAGGCTGAGCCCCCCAGCCCCGTTTCATGTTTCTTTGGCTCCCCCGCTTTCCAGAGTCACCTGTGACATTCACCGAGCAGGCAGAGGCTCCTCGGCCCCAGGCTGTGTTCCCACAGGTGTTTCTTCAGTGCCCAGAGTCACTGTGACACTCACCAGCAGGCAGAGGCTCCTCGGCCCAGGCTGTGTTCCCACAGGTGTTTCTTCAGTGCCCAGAGTCACTGTGACACTCACCAGCAGGCAGAGGCTCCTCGGCCCAGGCTGTGTTCCCACAGGTGTTTCTTCAGTGCCAGGGGCTTTTCCCATTTTCTTGCTCATTGGATGAAACTCTTGGCTTTTTGATGGTCAGAGGTTTCTATGTGTGTCTCATACAGGTGTTTCTTCAGTGCTCAGAGTCACTGTGACATTCACCAGCAGGCAGAGGCTCCTCGGCCCGGGCTGTGTTCCCACAGGTGTTTCTTCAGTGCCAGGGGCTTTCCCATTTCTTGCTCATTGGATGAAACTCGTGGCTTTTTTTGATGGTCAGAGGGTTTCTATGTGTGTCTCATACCACAAGTTTTCATCTTCTGACTGTTCTTTGAGCTTCTTTTCTTTTTTCTTTTTCATTTCTGCAAGGCAGATGCTCTTTGAGTTTCTTAAGCCGCTTGGGCCATATCCTCTCAAAGACAGTCATCTCATATGCTCGCCGGCCAGGACACCTGCCCTCCCACCTCCTGAGCCCCGGTGAGCTGTGGCCCGGGGCCTGCCTAGCGTGTGCTGGCCGCGGGAGGAGCGTGATCGTATGTGGAAAGGATTCCCAAGGTTGCTGCCACCATGAGTTTCTGGTGGCACCACTTATGGAAGGAAAACGTGTCACAGTGTTCTCTCCAGCAGGTTTCTCAGAGCCGCCTCCCTGTGTCCTGGGTGGCTGCGTACACATGAGGGGATGTATCACACTGGTGAGGGACGGGCATTGGGTCGTATGCACGCTGTTTGCACAGTCCTGAAAAGGGAGCCATCCTTAGCCCTTTCCCTGCTGTGTCTGTTCAGGTATAAACCCTCGCGTGAAGTCGGGACGTTTTGTGAAAATTCTCCCTGATTATGAGCACATGGCGTACAGAGACGTTTACACCTGCCGTATGTACCTCCTGCGAGCTTTGGCTTTTGTGGCAGCCAGCACGGCCAAGAACTGCATGGGGAGGGCCCCCTTATTCACACATGGGACAGCTTTGGTCCTGGAGCAAGCGGACCTTGTGGCTTTTTGTCATCCTTTCACGTTCACTTGCCGCAGCGTGGCTCTGGTTCGGCTGTGACAGAGATCCCACCTGTGGGTTGGACCCAGGCCACATTTGGGTCACTTTTTTGCAGTGGTTTCTGGGTAGTACCAGTCGAGATCACTTTAATGCATGTTTTCACATTTATCATTTATTGAGGAGCTACTGAGAAAATTCATGCCGAGGCAGAGAGGAATGAACGGTAGAAGCTTTAAAACTTTTATTCTAAAGTGAAATATGAATAGTTGACTTCTGAGTTTTATTAGTCACATTTTAATAGCCTATGTAAATTAAAAATCACGTATGCGTATACCCTCAACAGACAAGTACAGGTAGCAACAGTGGACTCCTTTTTTTTTTTTCTTTTTTTGGAGACAGTCTCATTATCACCCAAACTGGAGTGCAGTGTCACAATCTCAGCTCGCTGCAACCTCTGCCTCCTGAGTTCAAGTAATACTACCACCTCACCCTCCCAGGTAGTTAGGATTACAGGCGTGCACCACCACGCCCAGCAATTTTTTTTGTATTTTTAGTAGAGACGGGGTTTCATCATGTTAGCCAGGCTGGTCTTGAACTCCTGACCTCAAGTGATCTGCCCACCTCGGCCTCCCAGAGTTCTGGGATTACAGGCGTGCGCCACCGTGCCTGGCCAACAGTTGACTCTTTAGAACTTGATTCTTTTTGGCCAGGCGCGGTGGCTCATGCCTATAATCCTAGCACTTTGGGAGGCCGAGGCAGGTGGATCACTTGAGGTCAGGAGGTTGAGACCAGCCTGGCCAACATGGTGAAACTCATCTCTACTAAAAGTACAAAAATTAGCCGGGTGTGGTGGCAGGCGCTTGTAATTCTAACTACCCAGGAGGCTGAGGTGGGGGAATCACTTGAACCTGGGAGGTAGAGGTTACAGTGAGCCGAGATCACGCCATTGCACTTCAGCCTGGGTGACGAGAGCGAGACTCTGTCTCAAAAAAAAAAAAAAAAGAACTGAATTCTTTTGATGGAGCTCTGGAAACTTTTCTAAGCCGCAGTCACAGGAGTTTAATGCTGTCTCCACTTTTGTTTGGAGACAGGGTCTGTCTTGTTGCCCAGGCTGGAGTGCAGTGGCACAATCACAGCTCATTGTATCCTTGAACTCCTGGGCTGAAGCGAGCCTCCTGCCTCAGCCTCCCTAGTAGCTGGGACTAGAGGCGTGTGCCACCATGCCTGGTTAGTTTTTCAGCTTTTTGTAGAGACGGGCGCCTCACTGTGTTGCCCCCGTTGGTCTCGTACTCCTGGGCTCGCTCAGTCCTCCTGCCCTGGCCTCTCAAAGTGTCGGGGTTGCCAGTGTAGCCATCGCACCTGGCCTGTTTCCACTTTTTATTAGCTCAGAGTGGTTGAGGGGTGATGGAGACAGTGAATTTCAGCTGTCCAGGAAGAGACTGAAAACACCTGCCCGCACTAAAAGCCGTGTTGCAGTTTCTTGAGGCTCGTGGAGCCCCTACTATTGCTTTCCATCCACCAGATTGCCCATGAGTCTGCATGGCCTGTTGGGAGCAGACCTACATCTTTCATAAATTTCATAAGTTTCATAAATGCCCAATTTCCAGAAACACCTACTGAAAGCAGAAAGAATAAGGGTCGTTCCCAGAATTTCTCCGAACGTCCTGCCAGATCTCAGCAGATCGCTGCTGTGGGGAGCCTGGTCCCACTTTACTGAGGGGACCTTCCTGAAGTTGGTGCGCAGGTCCTGGATTTGGTTAGCGCGCTTCAGGATGGTCTCTGAACGCCTTACATGCCTGCTAACAGCACTGCCTTGTTGAGGTGAACTGTTCAGCTGAGTGGAGGTCAGAGCCAAAGGACCTCTCAGCAGTCTGTGGACAGGGAACACGGGGCTGGAAGGGGCTGAGGTGGAAAAGGAGGGGTGGGCAATGTTTGAAGACATTTGTGCTATTCTAGACTGACCAGTCCTTCCTCTGAGCAGTCAGCGAGCAGAGCCCTGGGAGGGGACGGTCGACTTGTGAGCTTTGACAAGAACAGTGTCTCCTCGGTGCCGACACGAATGTGCTGGCTTTTCCCTTTCCTGTCCTGTCCTGTCCTGTCCTGTCTTTCCTCCCCTCCCCTCCCCTCCCCTCTGTTTCCTGACAGAGTCTCAATCTGTCACTCAGGCTGGAGTGCAGTGGTGTGATCTCGGCTCACTGCAACCTCTGCCTCCCGGGTTCAAGCAGTTCTCGTGCCTCAGCCTCCTGAGTAGTGGATTACAGGCGCCCACCCCCACACCCGGCTATTTTTTGTATTTTTAGTAGACACAGGGTTTTGCCATGTTGGCCAGGCTGGTTTTGAACTCCTGACCTCAGGTGATTGGGCACGGGCTCTTCAATACAAGGGGACAAGCACTGAGAGGCTCCTCATGTCGCATGTCTGTCTCACAATTTCTCTGGAATGTACACTGTGGACCCAGGATGGAATTCTGACCAGCCTCTGGGGAGGCTGCACAGCCAGGGCCTAGCAAGTCTCCAGAGTTGCACTGGGGGCAGGGGACATTCCTTTTGTCCCCGAGGCAGGTGGAGGGAAGCTTCATGCAGCTTACGAGGAAAAGGTCTCCTCCCCATGCTGCCGGGCCGGCCTCTCGAGCATCCAGGCTGGGCAGCCTCATGTGATGTGGCACCAGTTGCTTCAAGTGGGCGGCTTTATCATAGGCGGGTTTTGATTGACATACTGTTGTTCCTGCTGAAGTTTGAGTGTAGTTATAAAAACACAAAGTCATTGTAGAAAACTTGAACAATTTGGAGAATAACAATGAAAAGCAGCAGTTCAACATGGGTTGCATTTCTCTTCGGACATACTTAAATGGTGACTGGTTTCTTAGCTCCATGACCTACTAGAATATCAGGAAGAAAAAGTTCTTATGTGTGAAAGAAGAAAGCCAGTTTCAGCAGCCTCAGCCTGACGCCTGTGATGTGTCCGTGTTTTCAGTATTCAGGTGCTCTCAGCGTGTCTTAATGGAGAGCAGCTCAGCATTTGTTCTCACAGCAGCACACCTTTTGGAATAGTCCGCCCTGATGGGCTTCTGAGTATTTTGGGGCCGCGTGTGGCTTGTGTTTCCATCATGCATGTGGGCCGTCAACTGTTCATGTTGAGGTTCTCTGGACTTTGTGCTGTGGGTCCAGCATCTTATTTTATTTTATGGTAGAGATGGAGGTGTCGCTTTATTGCCTAGGCTGGTCCCAAACTCTTGGCTTCAAGCAGTCGTTCTGCTTTGGCCTCCCAAAGTGTTGGGATTACAGGCGTGAGCCACTGCACCTGGCCGAGCTGACATCCCTGAGCGTAGGACTGTCCTGGAACAAACCCATGCGGCAGAAGCTGGGATCCTAATGTTGAGTAGTAGATTTTTTTATTTTTATTTTTTTGAGATGGAGTCTCTTTGTCACCCAGGCTGGAGTGCAGTGGCGCGATCTCTGCTCATTGCAACTTCCGCCTCCCGGGTTCAAGTGACTCTCCTGCCTCAGCCTCCTGAGTAGCTGGGATTACAGGTATGAGCCACCACGCCTGGCTACTTTTTGTATTTTTAGTAGAGAAGGGGTTTCGCCAGTTTGGCCAGGCTGGTCTCAAACTCCTGACCTCAGGTGATCCATCCACTTCGGCCACCCAAAGTGCTGGAATTACAGGCGTGAGCCAGCGTGCCTGGTCTATGGAGTAGTTTAGTGACCTCAGAGTCACTACTTTTGGGGTATCTTTTCTCTTCCTTTTTCCTTGGGTGCATGAGGTTGCCTGGCACTCTGGATAACGAGCATTTGTAAGGTGTTGGGAGTGTTAAGGGAAAGCCTGTTGTCCTGACAGCAGTTCTGATACATCTGCTTCTCTGCACATTGGTGAAGCCAGTCAAAGTGCATTTTTGGTTTTTTTTTGGAGACAGGATCTTGCTCTGTTGCCCAGGCTGGAGTACAGTGGCACAGTCATGGCTCACTGCAGCCTTCATCTCCCTGGGCTCAGATGATCAACCCCAGCTCCTAGTTAGCTGGAATTACAGGTGTGTGCCACCACGCCTGGCTAAGTTTTCTATTTTTTTGTAGAAACAAGGTCTCCCTGTGTTGCCCAGGCCAGTCTGGAACTCCTGGTCTCAAGCGATTATCCCGCTTCAGCTTCCCAAAGTGTTGAGATTATAGGCGTGAGCCACTGCGCCTGGGCTAAAACACTGATTCATTTTAGCCTTTACTGAGATATTAACAATGATGTCTCTTAGAAATATGGAGTGCCTTGCTTAGAAATGTAGTGGAATTCCTTACAAACATCCATTCTGCTGAAACTGGAGCTGAACGCGGAGTAGGCGCACACGAGACAGAATCCTGCTGTGGGGGCACAGCAGGGTCCGCAGAGACGTCGGCACCCTGGTCCTCAGAGCCTGTGGAGTTGTCATCTAATCAGTGTGGGGGTCTCCCAGGGCTGCTGGAGCAGATGAACACAAAGGGTGGTCTAAAACAACAGAAACGCACTTTCTCACAGGCCAGAGGCCAGAGGTTCAAGACAAGGTGTCCCGGGGCCCTGCTCCCTTCGAAGGCCCTTGCGGAGCCTACTTCTCTCCTCTTTCTGCTCTGGCCGCATCGCCGCAGCCCCTGCCTCTGTCTCCACATGGTCCCCTCCGTCGTCTCTGCGTCTCTTCTTGGAAGGACAGCTGTCAATAGATCGGGCCCTTTCTGCGCCAGCATTCCTTTACCCTAACGTGCTCACGACTGCATGACAGCTTGATTACTTCCACAGAGGGCCACATTCTGGGATTCCAGGGGACATGAATTTTGGGGGAGACCACTCAGCCCAGCCTCCACGGTAACAGGGACTCTGTGGGTAAAGGTGTGGGTCCTGAGGCAAGGGGGGTGTCCTGGACCACCT